AGACCATGGCCTATGTCAGGCACACTTTAGTCTCCAGACTGACATTATTGCTCCCCAGTACCTTGGAGAGATGTCTGACAGAGGCTCTACCAATGCAATATGTCTTTTAATTTCCTGGTTGCTGGTACCAAGAGTGTTGATTGTGGAGCCAAGCAAACTAAAGCTGTTAACAATCTCAAGGTAGAAAAACAAAATGAAACAAACTACAAACAACCTATCAAATCAATCTGATTTGACCAATTTAATCAAGAATTTTTAAATGCAGGATGACAAAGTGATTAAACAATGTTCTACAATGTATGCCGGTGCTAAAAATGAAGAAAAATAAAATCTGTGTTTACAGTCAAGAGGGAGTTACAGTGGCCTAGTGGTAAAAAACTGCCATGAAATCTTGATGGCATGCAGTTCAAATCTACCAGCTGCTCTTCGAGGAAGAGGGTGAACAATCTCCTCTCCTGTGATTAACTACCTCCGAAAACCCACTGGAGGGACAGCTATGAGTTGGTTCTGACTCAATGGCGCACAACAACTAGTCATGAAATCAGCCAGCACTTGATTGTTCTTTTATGAAAGCTGTGCCTGGACCAGGAAGTTATTTTGTGAACTGAGTATGGGACTACTGTATGGTTTAAAATTAGGAAATGTGTATGTCAGGATCATATACTTTCTCCATAGCTATTTAATCTGAATGTTGAGCAAATTACTCAAAAAGCTGGACTCTATGAAGGAAAATGTGATAACAGGATTGGAGAACGACTCATCAATAACCTGCATTATTTAGATGACACAATCTTGCTTGTTTAAAGTGAGGAGGACTTGAACATATGCTGCCCAAGTCTAACACTGTGGCCTTCAATATGGATTGTACATCAACATCAAGAAAAGAAAAATCCTTGTCACTAGATTGACAAATAACATCATGATGTGTGGAGAAAGGATTGAGCCTGTCAATGACTTTATTTTGCTAGGACCCACAATCAATATTTTTGGTACCAGGAGTCAGGAGATCGGCAGATACATTGTACTGGTAGAGTCTGCAGTCCGAGACTTCTCCAAATTAATGAGGAGTAATGATGGCAGTTTGAGGACAAAGGTGCAACTAATTTATGCCAAGGTCTTTTCAGTCACTTGCTTTGCATCTGAGAGCTGGACAATCAATACGATTACAGAATTGATGCCTTTGAACTGTGGTGTTGGAGAAGAGTGCTGAATATTACACAAATTGTTAAAAAGAATCAACACATATGTTTTGGAGAAGGAGAAGCCAGAGGATGGCTTGGAGGCAAAGATGATGAAGGTTTGTATCACACACTTTGGCCACGTTTTTAGGAAAAGTTATTCTTTAGAGTGGGACATCATGTTTGGAAAGGGGGAATAATGGCAAAAGAGAGAAAGCCCCTCCATAAGGTGAGTTAGCAAGGTGATTTCAAGTTTGGGCTTTAATGTGACAGAGATTGTGAGGATGGCGAGGGATGTTCAGATCTGTTGTTCATAGGGTCTCTATGAACTGTATTTAACTTGAAAGTACACAAGAACCACAGTCTAGAAAGAAAGGAGTTGGTGACTATGAGGATGATGACTTCTTAAGGAAGAAAATCAAGTTGTAGAGATATGAATGATATCAAATTATTTAAACGGCATATCTTTTTTCTAGAAGAGTATTATTGATATTTAACTGTGTGTGTTTTAAAAACTAAGATTATATATTGGAGAAGAAGATTCTATGGATAACTTTTATTCTTTGTATTAGATGAGTCTGTGAAAATCTGGTATCTGTAAGAGAGGAGAGGTGTCCTAAGTTTTGGCCTCCATTTTATTGAATAATTTTATCAACTAGGTCATAGACATAAATATTAAGTAAAAAAAAATTGTAAAACTTCTGAAAGTAAACATAAAAATATTTTCATTATGTCAGTTAGGTAATTATTATATAGATATGATACAAATATGTACTGTATAAAAAACTGAGAATAAAAGACAATTTTCAAAAGATATCAAGAAGATGATATCTCAAGAATAAGAGATAGTGTTA